GGTCAGCGAGTCACCGACGAGATCGTAATCATTGGTGATAGAACCGTCGGTCAATCTCCCCTTCAGGATCGCCTTACTCAATTCGCCCTTCGGGCCGTACTTCTTTTCCAGGGTGGCGATCTCATCCATGTCTGGGCCCAGGATATTCTGACGGATCGCGACGTCTCCCTTGGTCCAGTTGCTCTTGAATTGCTCTTTTTGGAGTCTCTGGGAGGTGTCGAACTTCAGTTGCTGGATCCTGAGATCCAGATTCTGGAGGTACTCGGCCTCGCTCTTGTTCGTAGCGATAGGTTCGTCTTTCTTTTCCGCCTTGGGCCCGTATTTGCAGACCAGCGCATTCGTAAAGTTCTTCTTCTGCAAGTAGAGGGCTCTCAGCTTGCACGCATACTCACTGAGGATCTTCTTCTGCAGGTCCTCATACGTCATGGGGGCAAACCCTCGGTAGGCGGACGTGCATTCGAACCCGTCCGAATCGAAAGGCGAGATGACGGAGAGGGAAGCCGCCCTGGATGCCGAGGCGCGATGAGGCGCGTTCCTGACCACGATCGTCGTGGATGTTCTGCGAGCCGGCTTGCGGGCGGCGGGCTTGCTTCTGGTGTTGCGCGCTGGCATGGTCGACTGTCGTACACACAGTCATAGATATTTTTTCGGGCTCCCTTCTGCGAAGCTGAGAGCCTGAATCACGGCGTCCGCGAGGTCGTCCTTCTTCGACGAGCCCTCGAACGCCTCCAGCACGCCCTCGGAGGCGGCCCCGGGTCCCGAACGGAGGAACGCCCCGCAACGTTCGATCGCCGCCTTCTTGCGCCGCCTGTATTTTTCGGCTCCGCTCAGCCCCTCGCTCTTGGCCCGCGGCAGCTTGAGCCTTCCGTCGTAAGCGACGGTCTTCTTGCCGTTGCATATGAAGTAAACCTCGAGCATGCCCTGTATGACCCGCATCAACTTCGCGATGGGCGGCTGCTTCTCGATCAGGACCACGTCGGCGTCCACGAAGTCCGCCGCGTGGGCATCCAGCTCCCGCACCAGGCGCTCCGCCGTGGCTGAGTCGATCATGTTACGACTGTGTCCCGCGCCGGCGGATGAAGCCACGTCCACGATCCCTATGTCCAGCACCGTCGGATGCCCCTCGTCCGGCACGAGCATGGAGCAGTATGCGAGATGGCGGATGCCGACGTCGATGCTGAGTACGATCATGGCGATATGATCTCGCTTAAGAAAACGTCGGGGGATGGGAGCACGGCAGGACGCGTCGCACATGGCTTCCTCCCAGACATCGACGCTCGAGAAGATGCATAGAGAGAAGCTGGAGGCCTTCGAAGCCGCTCGGGTGGACGGACGGGTCTCCGAGGAAGAAGCGGACTACCTGCTGAGGGTGGCACCCATGCTGATGGAGTACGAGGAAGAAAGGGTGCGGATGAGGAAAGCGAAGGGACCGCCATCCGGCGCGGTGAAGAAGCGAGGCGGGGGCATCCTCGGCTTCCTCGAGGGCACTTCGGAGATGGAAGGGGAGGGCATAGGGTCGATCAACCTGAGGTACATGGCGGAGGTGCTGCCACCCCACACCAAGGAACACAACGAAGCCATGAAGTCGCTGCGCAACATGTCGAACCGGAAGGATCCGCATGCAGACGGAGGGATGTGTGAGGCGTGCCGAGTGCCTTGCCTGACCGTCCCGGACGAGGGCAGCATAGTGTGTCCCGAGTGCGGTACGTCTAGGGACGACCTCGAGTGCGGGCGGACGGGCCTGACGTACGACCAAGAGATGAATCGGAACGTGGTGCCCTCCTTCTCGTACAAGAGGGCCGTGCACCTGTTGGAGTGGCTCGCCCGGATCCTGGGCAAGGAGTCGACGGTGATCCCCGACGACGTGATCGCGAAGGTCAGGGCCGAATTCAAGAAGTGCCGTATCTCGAGCACCGACGAGATCACGCCGAAACGGGTCCGCCACTTCCTGAAGAAACTGGACTTGTCCCAGTACTACGAGCACTCGGTCTCCATCTGCCGCGTATTGGGAGTGGACCCCCCGAGGGTGCCACCGGAGGTGGAGGAGAAGATAGTCATAATGTTCGCGGCCGCCCAGGAGCCCTTCGAGAGGCACGCGCCGAAGGACAGGTCGAATTTCCTCTCGTACGCGTACACTCTGTACAAGTTCTTCGAGTTGCTGGGGCAGGATCACATCTTGTCGTACCTGCCGCTCCTCAAGAGCCGAGCGAAGCTGAAGACGCACGACGAGGTTTGGAAGAACATTTGCAAGGACCTGCACTGGCAATTCATCCCCACCGAGACGGATTGAGGGCGGACGCGAGTACGAGGCTCTCGGGGATACGATGCTTCGCTGACTCGGTCGTGCACATATAAGGAAGGACTTTGGGTCCCGGGACTGTATATGGTGGCCGAGGATGACATCCGTGACCACCGATCAACGAAGGAGACTCTATAAGATCTACGTAGAGCGTTTCTTCGTGCTTCATGTGGAGTGCGATGGGGCTTGGAAAGACGCGGTGGTGAAGCTGAGCGGTTCTGCGCAGACCGTTTACACCCTCACCGTGAGTTCAAACGGTGCGCTGAGGTGCGATTGCCCGGACTCCGAGGGACGGTGTCGCTACAACGGGTGCTTGTGCAAACATATATGTTTTCTCCTCGTGAGGGTGTGCAAGCTCGCCATCGACCACACGTCCGACCACATTTTCTCTGAACGACGCCTTTGTGGACTTCGACTGGCGGCTGCAAGAAGTCGGCTCGAGGGGATCGCGGCGGGTCATGCGCGCTTGGATTCCGATCTGGTGGACACGAATCTCACCGGGAAGTACGAGAGTATCGTCTCGGGAGGAGAAGACGCCCTCGATTGCTTCGCCGCGGCACCACTCGAAACGGGAGAGGATGGAGAGACGGAGTGTTCGATATGCTACGATACCCTCGCAAAGGGTGAACGGAATCAATGTCCCGAGTGTCATAATCAGATTCATAGGGAGTGCATCGAGAGGTGGCTGCAGCTCCATAATACGTGTCCCCTCTGCAGATCGATGAGGTGGACGGAGTTTCACGGGACACCGCAGACTAGCGGCCAGTACCTGCAATTGTAGTACACATGGTTCCTCTAAGCGTGATACTCGACCGTGTGATCGGTCTTATTATAATCGACCACCGCTTCTGAACTCGCAATAATGCCTCCATTCTTCCTCGATACGATCGATGCTCGTGCGCCTTTCTCTGATTCTCGAGCATCATTCCCGTTTCTATGCCGAGTATGGCATCGTCGCGACATTTTCGGCGCAGATGGTAGTGACGGACGACGAGGATGATGTTCCTGATTGTCGTGCTCACGCTCATGCTCATCGCACTGTCTTTGTATGCGTCGGGCATCTTTCCCGCCTATACGACCTTCGTCGACGCGCACCTGCTCGGCGTTCCAGCGACGACGCCTGCGACGGCTGCCCAGACGCAGACGACGAGCCCTGTCGTTCCGACGTCGACGGTGCTCCCGATCTCTCCGACATCATGCATGGCCGCCGTAGACTGCAAGGCCGCTTCGCAACTCGCTCTCCAACACTACACGTCAGTCACCGGCGCACCGCAGGGGACGACGATCTCCAGAGTCGTGGGTTCCTCGGATCCTACGGTGTGCAGCTTCGCGTTCGACGTCCCGGGCTCCAAGACGGTGACCGTCGACCTGCTGGGCCGCAAGACGAATCTGCAGGTCCCGATCCCGGCGGACGAACGTCGGTTGGTCTTCACCAGAGACTCCAAGTCTTGCGCGCCGACCGGCGTCACCGACATGGGAGGTCCCGGCTCTGGTTTCATGGTACATAACCTCATTCCCGGCACGCTCAGCCTCGGCGGTATGTGTGCGGTCCCTCGAGACGGGCGCACGTCGGCCGGGATCCCCGTCGAGTTCCAGCCGTGCGACGCCTATTCTCCCGCCCAACTCTGGGCTTTCGACCCGTCGACGGGCCAACTGCAACCACAGGCCGACCGGTCGTATTGCCTGGACGTCGCTAACGTGAGCAGAAACAACGGCGCGAAAGTCCAACTCTGGTCGTGCAACGAGACGGCGGGCCAGGTGTGGAGCTACGACGAGACGAAGGGCGAGGTACGGAGCGGGATCAGGCCGGGCTTCTGTCTGGATGCCCCGGGGGCGAACAGCTCGAAGGGAACGCAGCTGGGGGTGTGGGATTGCAACGGCGTCGTCGCAGCCCAGAGGTTCGCGACCGCTCTCTTTCACTGATCCGGCTCCGGCGTCGGCTGAACGCACAACTCCATGGACCCACTCACGGTCCGGTCTTCGGTCGAGAGCGAGCGGTTCAGCCCCCGTCTGAGGTCGTCCGCCCGTCCCATGAACGCCGACCGGAGGGCCTCTCTCACCTGGACGAAGGTGAACGGCTTTATGATGTAGGCGTCCATGCCGGCATCCCTGTATCGAGTCTTGAGTTCGTCGGTCGCATGCGCGGTGATGCCTATGATGTAGATGTCGGAGAACCCGAGCTTTCGGATCAGGCGCGTCGACTCGAACCCGTCGACGGGCATGATGATGTCGGTCAGTAGAACGTCGAAGGGGCGCGTGCCCAGGAGCTGGACGGCCTGGGAGCATTCGGCCGCATCCATGGATTCCAGCCCCTCATTCGCCAGGATCCGGCAGCAGACCATGCGGTTGACGTTATCATCATCCAGGACGAGGAAGCGTAGGCCGTGCATCTCCGGGTCGATGGCGAACGTCCGTTCCTCCAAGAGCTCGTACGCCGTGGGCCGGTCCGAGGGGCGGACGAAGAGCCTGCGCAAGACCTCCCTGAGGGAGCGCGGCTCCACTTTCTCCAGCAGCTCGGGCGGGTCGAACTTGGCCAGCTTGTCGAACAACTTGGCGTACGTGGTGCACTCGTCGTAGGGACGGCACCCCGTTACGCCCTCCATGAGAACCATAGCCCACCCGTACACGTCCATGCTCTGGCCCTTGTGGCCCATCAGCAGCTCCGGGGCGGCCAGCTTGGCCTCCTCGATGGGTTCCCTCCTCGAGTTCTCCGACACGAGCGACGAGACGCTGAGGAGGTCGAGCTTCACCGCACCCAGATCGGCGTGGACCAGCACGTTCTTGGCCTTCACGTTCAAGACGAGCGAGGGCAGGTCCAGGCTGTGCAGGTAGGCGATGGCCATCAGCAGATCTCGACCCCACTTCCTGAACACGCGTGGCTCGACTGACCCGCACGCC